CCCTGCTGTAAAGGATAATTAAAAAAACTAAAGGATTAATAAAGATCTAGAGAAACTCGGTGACTCCAGTGAATTTATTCAGGCTATATTTATACTAAACAATTTTTATAACTTCTGCAGATCAAATTTCCTGTAAATCTCCATAAATCAGGCAGAGGTTGTTTAAGATTATAAAAAATCTTTATTGTTTTATCCCCAACATCTGCTGGATCAGGGTCGGAACAATCTCCATGACGTGTATTTATATAATAAACCTGAAGATGGTTATGGAGCGATTTTTATCAGAACCAAACGTCAAGAAACAGTGAGATGGTGACAGACATGCTGCTGCAGCTGAGTCTGCATGAGGTTCGGAACCGGAACCGGGAGGTTCAGGTTCGGCCTAGCAGTGAGATTCTGCTGCAGCAGGAATGTTTCCGGGTCCCTGAACGCATCACCGTCCATCTGCGCCGAGCCGTCAGTGAATATGTGAAACTCGACACGGGCTCCCATAACGCTTCACCGCCTGGGCGGAACCAGAACCCGGATCCAGTAAACCCTCCCAGCGATCCTACAGGTTCTGCTGCGTTCTGTTGGGCTCGGTTCCGGGTCCAGTTCAATCAGCCTTTGCGTTCACAGTTCATTTTCTGTTGAGTTCTGGAATAGTTCTGGAGGTGTTCTGCGACCCGTTTCCTCCAACCAGCTGAATTTCATTTAATTTAACTTAATTTAATTTAATCAGTAATATCTCTGTAAATGCGCCACAATTAGAAAGATTATCAATTAGTGCCGCTAAAAACAAAGAGATTTAAAATTATTTAACTTCATAAATTGTGTCAATACATGCAAATACAATAATCAATACAAAAAAATAATAAACATAAGACAAAGAAGCTACAACACAATTGATGTAAAACTAAGTTAATTCATTTAGATGGTGAAACAAAGCGGGATGCAAAATGCAAAATCTGTCAAAATGTCGACAGATCAATTTTGTTTTTTAAAATAGATCAGAAAAAAAAAATAAAACAAGTGCTCCAATTTAAAAAAAAATAGTTACTAAAAATCAAAGTTAATCTTAATTTTTATTACGTTGTCATGTTAAACAAACGTAAATAAATACAGTTTAATCCAGCTGTAGTGCCGTGCTGCTCAGCAGTCACTAACATGGCTGAACCACCCAGCCCTCATCATGATGCTGCCACTCTCCACCAGCTGCTGAGTGTGAATAATAACTGATTATTTCCTGTGTTTTTCTCTGAAGCTGCAAGTCAGGTCTCTCTGTGCGCCTCTTCCTCCTCCTGCAGGATGTCTGTGGGCGGAGGCCTGAGGAAGAGGAGGAGGAAGAGGAGGCTCCAGCCTTCCTCCAGGCCCGCTCCCACAACTCTTCAAGCAAACTTTCCTCCAATGTTTCCGTGAAACAAAAACTGCGACGCTTCGCGTGGCGCGGGAGCAAAAACACGCAGCGGGTCCCCGCGGGGCTGCGGGGCCCGCAGAGGGACGGCGGCATGTCGGGGAGATCCGCAGCCGCCTGGATGTGACTGCGAGGTGGGTCCGAGCTCCGGAGCTTCCCCCGCTGCTGGTAAACAACATGCGGCCGAGGAAAGGCGACCGGAGGCGGGGGAGAGGAGCGACACACCCCGCTGGATCTGGAGGGTTCAACCCGATAGATTACACCAGATTACATTAGATTAGATTAGATTAGATTAGATAGATAGATAGATAGAACTTTTAAAAGTTTAGTTCATAATAATGTAATTAAATCTGTTGGTTGAGCTTCTGATTGGTTGGTTTCCAGGAGGATGGAGGGAGGAACAGAGCCAGCAGAGGAGAAGGATCCTAATCACATCCCAGTGGAACACCAGGAGTTTCCCATCATGCACTGGGAGGAGCTGAGCCAGCGGATCGCTGAGCTGGAGAAGCAGGAGCAGGAGAGGAGGGAGAAGGTGAGGAAGGTCACATCCTCATCATCATCATCAGAGGTCTGTTAGCTGAGGACTACATTTCCCATGATGCCTAGCAGTTAGAGCAGGAACATGGTGATGTTTTCTCGGTTCTGTTTGGTTCTTGTTGGTCCGGTTTCAGGAGGTTCTGGACCTCCTAGCAGAACTTTTCCTGGTCCATCATTTCAGAACCATCCATCAGAACCGAGGAGTGTGTTTCTGGAGTTTGGGTCGGACTGAAGGTTCTGGTTCTGTGTCTCCAGAGGAGGACGGGGCTGAGGACAGAGAACGTCTGGGAGGACGAGGAGGAAGACATCAGGAGGGGACGAGTCGCCATCTCTACGTCTCGGTAAAAATAACAGAACTTTTCTACCTGTCCCTGAATCCATCGCTATCTAGCCCTTCCCCTCCCTGTACCAGCCAATCAGATCCTCTGTCTTCAGTGACTCTGCAGGTCGATGACCTCTTGATGGATCTAAGCAGCAGAAAGCTGAACTTCCTCTCTGTTGACCTCTGACCTCTATTCCAGACTGAACCACAGGAACCTGCAGCTCTGCTTCATCAACAACAGCGACAGCGAGGATGATGAGGAGGAAGGAGCAGAGAGGAAGGTTCATCATCATCATCATCATCATTAAATCTGACCTTTGACCTTTGCCACATCTCCAGAATACCAAAGATATGTTTGCTTTGCAGTTTGCTGACCTCTGACCTTCCGGGCCCCTCAGGTTCCCATGGGAGCAGGACACAATGGTTGCCATGGCAGCGGGTTGAAACAGGAAGTGGCAGCAGCTCTGAGAGCGCTGAGAGACGATCTGCTGGCTGAGCAGCGGCAGCAGGAGGTAAAAACTGGGCCGGAACCAACCGGGTCAGAACCAGAGGCATAGCTGCTCACTGTGTTTGTGTGTGTGTGTGTGTGTGTGTGTGTGTGTGTGTCTCAGAGCCAGGCCAGCTGCAGCGGCGTCGCCCAGCGGAAACATCTGGAGCACAGAGAGCTGCAAGATCTGAGCGAGACGCAGCTGATCGGCCTGCGGGGGGCGCTGCAGCAGGAGGTCCACGGTGAGGTCCACGGACAGGGCTGGAGGAGAACTGGGTCAGGACCGGCTCAGGACCTGTTCTGATCCGGTTCCCTCATCTGGTGTAAATCTCAGGATAACGTCTCAGTTCCAGCAGGAAGTTAAATTGATAAAAATATATTTTCTTACAGATTTATTGATCCATCTCCATGTTTGTTTTGAGATAATCAGAGAACAGATCCTCCTCCTCCCTGAGCTGCTGAAATGAACCAAAAACAACCAATCAGAGCTGGGAGGCGGGGCTTAGAGCTGTCAAATACTGATGGTGGAGAAACAACTTACCGTAGCCATGGCTATGCTAACTAGCCTTTGCTAGCTGCAGGTAGCAGAGACAGATAGTGACTGACAGCGCTAACATATTTTAGCTCCATGTTGTTCTCGTTGGTTACCATGACGACACCTGTTGTCTCTAAGCTAGGCATGTGGCGTTGAATGAACCAGTAGAAAAACAGAAATAACAGCTCTAATGTTTCCCTTCCAGCGCTGAGCGCAGAGCTGGTGGCCCAACTGCTGGTCCGGGACCAGCTGAGGACCAAGCAGGATGCCATGCTGCTGGACGTCCAGGACCTGACCTGACTCCAGAACCAGAACCGGGCCGAGCTGCTGTCGGGTCGGGATGCTGCTCTCCGTCCCGGGGGAAACCAACGGACCGAGGTCCAACAGAACCACCCGGAAGGCCTGGATGGAACCAGAACTGGGTCATAATGGACCTCCGGTTCTGCTCAGCGGGTTCTGGAGAACCGCTGATCGACCCAGACCGGAAATCAATCAGTTTGATTAGAAATTAATCAATAAGTTTATTTAACTCAGTGTTTGTTTCTGATCAGATTCAGGTTAAAGTTTAATATTAAACTATATTCATGTTTATATTTTATTCTGAGTTTATGATATCTGAACAAACGTGAAAAACTGAGGAAAGTTTCACTGTGACTTTATTAAATATGACGAATAAATAATAACAAACTGTTTAAATCTGTATTAAATATATTTGGAGGAAAATGAGATTCTGACCCGGTTCTGTGCATTTCATCTGGAGGTTCTGACACCGACCAGGGTCTCAGGTTCTGTCTGGTTCTGATCGTCTCTGAACCGAGATCAATGGAAACCCGATAAGAACCAGCAGGATCGGGTTCACTTCAGATCGGAAAACAGATGGACTGTCTGAACGGTTCTGGATTCAGAAGAAACATGTTAAATGATGCTGGTCTGGGTCAGAAGAACCAAACAGAACCAGACAGAACCTCTGGTTCTGAATGGATCAGATCATTTTAACGTTATCTTGGTTCTGTTTGGTTCTTGGTCCAGTTCAGGAGGTTCTGGACCTCCTAGCAGAACTTTGTTGGTCCATTGTTTCAGAACCAGCCATCGGAACCGAGTTCCGGTTCCTGCTGCAACTGCTGCTCTGATAACAATCACTATGGGGCGTTCAGGGAGGCTGGGATCATCCAGTGCCACTGGATCACAGATTATGATGATGATGTTGGCGGGGGGGCGGGGCCTGAGGAAGAGGAGGAGCTGCTGCTGCTGAGGTGATGAAGGTGGGGAGAAGCAGAGAGGCGAGGGGAGCGAAGGTGAGCTGAGTTTCCTTCTTTCAAACGGAAAGTTCTGGTTCTGATTTACGGATCAGAACCAGAACCATAAATCATGTCTGTGTTGATCTGAGCGATGAAGATTAAAGTTGTTCCAGAAGATCTTCATCAGGAACATCACAGAATAATCTGAGGATGATGATGATGATGACGGTGACCTGAAGCTTCAAAGATAAAACATGATCAGAACTACATCTACTCTTCCTCATCTTCCTCCTTCTCTTCCTCTCTCTCCTCCTCCTAGTCTTCTTCTTCCCCTTCTTCTTTCACCTCTTCATCCTCTTCCTCTTTCTCCTCCTCTTCCTCTGCAGTCTGTGGATTTGGTTTCATTCTGGCTCATTAATAATTCAGACATGATGAAGGTGATGAAGGTCAAACCCAAATCTGAGGAAGAGGAGGGAGGCTGAGAAAAACTGAAGCTGAATTTAAACATAAAGTTTGATCAGTAATAATAATAATAATCAGCAGCCAAACAGAGCACGAGGCATTCAGGGACCGTTGTTAGTCATCACATTCAGTGAGCTGCTCTTTATTTTGTCGCCAAGCAGAAATAAATTATTAAAACGTTAAATATTGAAAGAGCTGATCAGTTGGGCGCTACATGAAATAACAAAGCAAGATGCTGGATCAGTCAGAAGGAAAAACAGACACAAAAAGACAACTTTATATTAATCAAATCATATGAAAATTATACAAAAAATCTCTTAAGACCAACATGTTGATCGGCCTGATGAATCAACATATTGATTCATCAGGGCCACACAAAATCACTCCAGGGGCCACAGCTGGCCCCTGGACCACTCTTTGGACACTCTGGTCTAGAATAATGCGCCCCCTGGTGGAATTGTCCTGAACTGTGAGGATCAGCATCAGAGCTGCTGAAATTACAGGTTTGATATTTCCTACAACGGCATGAATCACCTGAAAAATCAGTTGCTCTCTCAAATTCCTTAATTCCTTAATTCATCTCTCTAAGTGAATATCTGTCAGAATGAGCCGCTCCTTTTTGCTGGGTTCAAACTGCTGGCTCATGCTGTTAGGGTAACAGTGACTGCAGGAATCTGAAGTATTTAAAAATAATAATTGTTTCAATGGAAAGATTCACATTTACACTTTTATTGTGATTTGATGACAGACCGTGTGATTATGATAAAGAAAGAAAACTGCAAAAAAAAAAGAAAAAGAAAAGAGAAACTAAAGTAGAAATGGGAACATAAGACAGGAGAACATGCAGCTCCGCAGGAATTAGAGTTTTCCTGACGTTCCCGCTGCTGGAAATCAAACTGTGATCCACATCACAACAAATATCCATCATCCAACTGCTGTGATGTCATCACACAGTATAGCCATGGCAACCTGAGGGCTCACCATTGGTCGACTTAAAGCTTCACCTTTGGTTGGAGAAAGTCCGGACTCACCAGTTCAGGAAAATATAAAAATATGGTTGTTATGACAGCTTGTTCAAGCAGTTTGGATGTTCAGTCTTCGGATTAAATGATGTTCAGGATGAGTGAGCAGAACTTGTACAGTACACCGTGATGACATGAGCACAGAATCAGTTCCATGGCGGCTCAAAGGAATTTGAGACTTGTTCACAGAAATGAGAAACTGCCTGGTTGATACAATCATTGGCAGATTGAACAGAAAGTCTAGAAAATTTCAACCTGGTCTGAGAAATGCACCAAAATCTGGGAGGGCTTTCTGTCTGTCAGCATTTAACCTGGTTCTGGATGTAACCCGGGACTGGTTCTGGACGTAACCCTGACCCAGACTCTCCAGCAGCTGGAACCGACCTGCTGAACGGGGAGGAGAGGCTTCCGGAAAACTGCGTTAATCATTCAGGAGCTAATGGAGCGGGACACAGCCTTCATCAGCAGAACACGGCGGCAGGACGCACAACAAGCTGCAACCACTAATGAGGCTGTTTCTGTGTCCAACAGGTACCGACAGATAGACAGATAAATAGATAGATGGAACTTGGCTTCTACAATGCCAGTGGATTCAGATTGGGTTGACCTTTAACCCTCAGAGGTTCGTGATGGGTCTGGACCGGGTCTCTACCACCACTCCACACATCAGCTACCTGGGTGCGGTGAGCCTCAACACCTCCACTCCTTATGCCTCCTCCACCTCCTCCACCCTGCCTCCGTCTTCCTGCAGCATCGATGAATCCTACAAGTACGTCTTCCTGCCCGTCTGCTACTCCCTGACCTTTCTGTTCAGCCTGGTGCTGAACTCGGTGGTTCTGGTGCGGTCGTGCCGGCCCCATGGTGGCGGCGGGCGGCGCTGGAACACCTCTCTGATCTACATGGTGAACCTGGCCACCACAGACCTGATGTACGGCCTGTCGCTGCCCTTCCTGGTGGCGAGCTACGTGCTGAGGGACCACTGGGTGTTCGGGGACTTCATGTGCCGCCTCGTACGATTCCTCTTCTACTTCAACCTCTACTGCTCCATCTTCTTCCTCACCTGCATCTCTGTGCACAGGTAGGATGCTCTATGTCATGAAGCCATGGATTCCAGTCAGGGGCAAAACAGTTTTCTGATGTGAATGCAGACACATTTTAGCCCCTGTGTGCCTCTGCTACTCATCAGCACAAGCAAATGTTAAGTACAGAAATGTTGACTAGACGTAATTTTTCCACCATGACTATGGCACCCTTTTAGTTCAGTGCCCCTAAGCATAGCATATTTAGCGTTCCCACTTTTTGCACCACTGGCTCCATCAATAAAGCCTCAGATAAACCAAAATTTAGGAAAACTTTCAGGGTTTAATTGTAAGCATTGAAAGTTCCTTTGAATGCTTTGAAGTATTTCTGTTTCTCTCTGAATTATTCCTATTCATTCAGGTGATTTAACAAGCTCCGCCTCCTTCCTCCCAGGAAGGTACACCTGCCCATGTTCATGGACAGTTTGTGTAAATTCCTGGTATTGTTAATTTTTGATTATTTTTACCTTTGAACTAACTGTAAGTCACTAGTGGACAGTAGCTGTGAAACGTCTGAGGGTCTATGGACCTCTGAGCCAATCAGAGGCCTTGAAGCCAGGGGAACCTTGGCCCATTTAACCAGTTGAGTTTAGTATTAAGGCAGAAAAACTGCTGAACAACCTGAACTCATTTTCTGAAGGATTCTAGAAAGCTGCGTGGAAAATGTTCTGGATGTGTTTTCTTTTCTTTTTTGCAAATCTTCTGACTTGAGGAACCCTTTGTTATTTGTTGGGTTCTGGTATTCTGGGTCGGTTCAGTCGACAGCGTGATGCTCGTCAGCCACTGACTTCCTGTGGATTTCCTTCCACTCTGTGATTTTCCAAAGTGTTTTCCTCCGTTGGAAGCTTAATGACGGTTTAGTCACACACCGTTAACTCTGACAGTGCGTGACCCCGTTGGACGGACCAGGGGGTCAATGAGCCCGGGTCTGTCAATAGAACTGCTGAACCTGACAGTCAGTTTTAATGAAAGAAGCTGGAAATCTTGATGAAAATCTAGAAATATTTCATATTCAATTTGTTCTGCAGTATTTGTTTGGTTTCCATCCATAATAATTATCATCCATCCATTACCAAGAAGTTAGACAACAGAAAACAGAAAACTCTGCAGTAAACTGTAAGTTATACTTCCTGAAGTTCTGAAGAGTCCAAATGGAGACAGTTGGACTCTGAAGAACCTCTGAATCTGTCCATGATCCCTTGTAATGTTTATGGGGTTCATGGACATATTATAAGGTGTAGCTATGGAGTCATTTGCTTTTATTCACATGATGAGGTCCTGCTGGTAGTTATGGTGGTTACTACTTTCCCTACAGACCATGTTGAGTCTCTGCAAACAGCTGAGAAGTTCCAGTATCTTGGTGTCTTTTATTTGAAGAGAAGCAGGATAGAGCGAGAGATTAATAAAGACATCATGTCTGCACAGACATGAATGTTGAATGTTGATTCAAGACCTTGATGATTTCTGATAGTGTGTGGTGTGGACAGATTATAAAGTGTAGTTATGGAGTGTGTGTTGGGCTTTACAGGCAGGTATTGGAGCACCTGAAGGTCAACAGACATTCAGGTCTGTTGAATGTTTGCAGACCTTCAGCAGACCTGAAGGTCCTTTCGGACCTCATTAGTTTGGATGTTTTGATGTTTTTGTGTCAGACACCACTTATTGGAATTTAACAGGGTCACATTGTGGGCCTAAGTAGTGTTGAGGGGTCCTGTCTTGGTTTGGTGTAAACAGACATTGCATTGGTCCATTGCTGAAATCATTGATTACTTGAGCGCAGACTAAATAGTATTCGTCTGTCATCAGCATTTAGTCCCTGGTGGAGTTAGAACGAGGTCATGTAAACCAACTCTTGATGTGTCTGCAGGTACCTGGGGATCTGCCATCCAATGAGGACCATCACTCTGGAGAGCAAGCGGGTGGTGAAGGCAACGTGTGCTTCGGTGTGGGTGGTGGTCTTCGTTCTCACCTGTCCTATTTTCAGGTTTGCCCAGACAGGAGACGTTACTAGAAGAGGTTCTGGAGCTGTTGGACCTGAGGGGACGAGGTTTGGAGACAACAGGACTGAGGAGAAGTATGTGAACTGTTGGGACGACGCTATCGATAAGGACTTTCCTGAATATGTCCCATATGGCATTGTCCTTCACCTGCTGGGCTTCTTCGTCCCCTTTGTCATCATCGCTTGGTGCTACTCTCAGGTGGTCCGGACAATATTTCAGAGCCTACGGTCTCCACCCAGTTCAATAGAGGGCGGTGAGGATGGAGCAGTTGGGGACGGAGCAGTTGAAGGAGGTCGAGATCGGGAGAGAACTTCAGTCTCCATCTCTGGATCACAGTACTCCCACTACATCCGGAGGCGGCGCAAATCCATTAAAACCATTGTAACCATCACGCTGCTGTTTGCGCTCTGCTTCCTGCCCTTCCATGTGACCCGGACGTTGTTCCTGCTCCTGCGGCGGGGGCAGCTCGGCGGCTGCAACGCCATGAAGGCCGTCTCCATCTGCTACAAGGTCACCAGGCCTCTGGCCTCCTGCAACGCCTGGCTCAACGCACTGCTCTACTTCCTGACGGGAGATAAGGGTGCCCCCTGCTGCTGGCCAGTGGAACGCACAGTGCACCAGGACAGAAGAAATGGCTCCCTCTGGTGGCCATTAACAATACTGAGGAAGGAAGGAGGCGGAGAGGACGACCAGGAGGCGGCCGAGAAGGTAGCAAGGGAGCTGCAGATGGAGAATGAATCCAAGTCTTCACGGATCATCTTCTAGGACTTTTGAAGATGATCCGGGATCATCTTCAAAGATGATCCGTGCTTATCTTCATGTCAACGGGTTGAGCAACAACGGATTGAGTAACAACCCGTTGACATGTTGCCCTGAACCTCCTCAGTGACTCCTGAGTGTTGATCTGATACAACTTTATCAACAGACCAAGTTTCAGTCGTCTGGTGCAGAGTCCTGATGGCGACCCAGTTCTTTGGTTCTGGTGTGATGAAACAGAGACAGATCCGGAGATGGTTTCCTGGGTCCTCCTGCTCTACAGAAATTACATGTTTCCTCAGTTGTTATGTTTAACGGCTTCCATTGATCATAAGTAACCTGAACATGTCCCATGAAGCATTGCTCCTGGCAGGAAGCTGGTGGGATCATGGATTGGACTTTCATTGTTCTAGATTCTAGAAGATGCTGCATCTGATAGACCCGTCAACCTCCACGTTTATCTTCACCAATGTGAGATTAGGATTGGGAGACTGGGATTAAAGGTGGATTACAAACATTTTAACCCAACCTTCCCTCAGAAGCTGTGAGTGAGCCACTCCAAGTCGGACCGGCTGTGGTTCTGGTGTCCCTGTTGTTTTAATCTCAGGTGGTTTCTCCTTTCGGACCTCATTAGTTTGGATGTTTTGATGTTTTTGTGTCAGAATTAAAGTGTTTGTGACTCCAGCTTTTGTCCATCCTTCGTGATACCAAGAAGATCTGTTTTCTCACACAGATCAATAATCGGGTCATCTCTGTTTAGATTGAACCTCCTTTAAGAATTTTAGATGTGTTTTAGTTGAAACATGAACCACATGGCAACAATCAGCCAATCATGACCGTGTAGGATTCTGTGTAGATCCTGGCACGAAGAGTTTACCTGTTATTAGTTTACTCATTTATTATAAATCTGCCATTAATCATTCAATATTAATAAAAGAACATGAATTAATAATGAATTTATGTTAATTTATTGTGAGTTAAAAGTTGCAATCTGAAGCTGATGGTGAAATAAAAATAAAACAATTAGTAGATAAAATATAAAATAAATTCATCTGCATGGCCGATTTTACACAATAAACTTTATTTATGCCATCAAAACAGATTAATGGAAATCATTTTATATAGTGATGATAATGATGTAATACTGAGATAATTATGATGATAATCAGTGTTCAAAGTGTAACATGAGCTAAAGAAGTGTTTTCCACAGTGGAGACCGCAGCCACCTGGGGCGCTAGACGGCCTCAGAAAAATGGATCATAGATTGAATCTTAAACGTCAGAAATTTTTAATCATAATTTTTTAGATGATAAAAAAATATGACCTAATCTGTTTTCAAATCATAATTCTATAAGTTTTTAAAACATTATTGAAATGTTATTTGTCATGCTCATCTCACTGATTCATTAAGGTGCTTTGCTGCTTAAGCTAGCATAGCAGCAAAATGGAAAAGTTTCTAACCAGAAACAAACTGAAGGAACAGTCCAGCAGCCGATTCCTTCAGGAAACTGCTGCAGAGAAACCCTAATAACCTAATAATTTATTACAAATTAATGTAGTAATTACCGAATAGTAACTAAAAATGAGAAAAAACATCCCGCAAGTCGATGTTTCTTGACATGTTTTGGGTTTCTGTTTGGGGAAACAGAAACCCAAACAGTTTCTGAGTTCCCAGCCCAGGACTGGGAACTCCTGAGCTAAAGAATCACAGAGGTAGTTCCAGGTCATAACCAGCAGATGGCGTCAGAGTTACAGACAAGATAGAGAGGTTCTCTGGGTCTCAGTAGAACCTAATGGACCTCCTCATCAGCCTATCTGCTCCCACTGGGTGGTGCTCACCAGCCTGTAGTTGAACTCCCGGTAGTTTTCTGGGTGAACCTGTCTCTGCCTCCAGACCTCCTCGTAGAGGCTGCGGACTGCCGGCTGGAGCGGCGGGAAGCCGGCGGAACCGGCCAGCGAATCGCAGTATTCCCATTGGTCCTGGTCCAACTTTAGCAAGTGGTGGCGCTGGACCCCGGCCTCCAGTTTCCTCTGCTGCTCCCTCTGCACCGCTTCCTCCATCTGCTCCTGAGGCGGCACGGCAACCGATCCGTCCAGCACCGCCAGAGCGAACTGGACCTGAGGAGAGCAGAACCGTCTGAGACCGCTCCCCAAGGTTTTTCACTGGTGGATGCTACAGCTCACCTGGCAGTCGAAGTTGGGGAAAGGGCAGATGATCTTACAGATGCCAATGAAGATCAGTGAAGGGAAAGCGGGAGGCATCATGTAGCGGTACAGAGGGGACACCACATGGTTCTGGATCTCCAGACCCAGCCGGGCCGAGTCCAGGAACGGGTAGCTGAAGTTGTACCCAGTGCAGAAAATCAAAACATCAGCCTGACACACAGAGCCGTCCTGAGGGGAACATTTGAACCAATCATAGGGAGGTTTCACTTCAACATGAAACATTCTAAGGTTCTGGAACCAGAAACGGAGCCAAAGTGATTGGTTCTGCAGGACGGGCTCACCTGAAGGCGGATGGTTCCGTCGTCCTGGACCGCCACCACGCAGCTCGCCTGCTGGATCCCAGGAGGAAGAGGAACGATCAACGGAGGGTTCCGGTGACTCAGAGTCACCTGCAGAGAAAACACTTTCTCATTGGTTGATTTGGACTCTGAAGTCATCAGACAGGAACAAGGAGGACACGTTTAGCTCTGGAGAACTCCGAGTTAAAAATGGTTTATGGTTTTAATGAACTCTGATGGTACCTTGGCTCCAACCTTGACCAACTCAATGGAAATATCCAGTCCGGAAGCTTTTGCTCCCAGAACCACCACCGTTTGACCCGAGAACGGCTCAGCGAAGCGGTACGAGTGACTGTGGAGAACCGTTCCTGCAAACACACAGTGTTTATCGAAAGTCTTTACTCTGTTTGACATGACATTCCCTGACTCAGAGAAACAAGGTACCTTTAAAGTTCTGTATCCCTGGGATGTTTGGGATGTGAGGGTCCGAGTAATGCCTGAGGACACAGACATTCAACCTTTGAGACCTTACGTCGAAGCAACAGTGATTCCCAGTGGCAAGAGGTGGAATAACATTCTGTTTTTAAGCCCTACAAGGAATTACAAGAAACATCAGGTGTCCCTGTAATTCTGTGGTTAGAAAATGATAATCTGAAATGTTCCACCAACACAGTATTTAGTGGAAGATAATGCTAAATTATTAAATCAACACAGTATTTAGCAAAAGCTAATGCTAAGTGACACAATGTATCATGGGAAGGTGGAGAGTAAAAACCGTCAATGTCAGTGACCCTCATCACTGACATTGATAAGGAACAGAATCGAGGATAGGGTGAGAGACTCATGTCATGTTTATGGCCTCTATAGTGACTTCTATTACCCAGCGCCACCTTCGCATCACTGCTTGAGGCAAATTCATGACGACGGTCCAAAGCGCTCAACGTTAGACTGGATCAGCCAGAGAGACCCGGCAGAACCAACAGAGGTGAACCGAACTGACTGGGTTTGTTGAAGCTAACAGAGTTTATAGCCAATATGAAAACATGCTTCTGATTTTTCACTTCATTATCATGTAGATACCATGGTAGCAACCTGCTACGCACCCTGAACAGATGAACACTGCATCAAATGTCTCCGTTTTCCGATGACCCGTTGGGTCTGATGATGTCACTTCCCATGTGACCTTGCTCTCCCCGTTCTCTGTTGTCATGGAAACTGGCGTGACGTTTTCCACCGCTGTGTCAAACTGGTGATGAAGGATAAATCGGTTATCTTGACTGGGATGGTTACCGGACTCCGGGATCAGCGGGAAAACTCACCCGGATGTGAGGCCGGATCCGGAAGTTCTCACAGTACCTCTCCAGGTACCGCTGGACCTCCTGGTGGGACAGGAAGCTGCTCAGCTCAGGGTCAAAGGGGAAGTCAGGGAACATCATCACCTCTTTGGGCAGGTTGGTTCTGTTTGGACAGAGAACTTGGTCACAACTCATGAGGAGTCAGATGCTCCCCCTTCTGGCGGACAGGTGACCCTACCTGAGGTCCCTGTACATGCTGCTGAGCACCGGCCTCCCGTTGGGGTACGTCCCGATTCGCTCCTCGTAGCACCAGGTCCCGCCCACATTCCCACTGAGCTCAAACACCACTGGTGGGGCAAAGCTGGTGGGGCGGGACAGGATGTGGCGAGCCGCACAGAGTCCGGCCGCCCCCGCTCCAACCACCGCTACTCGCTGCAGCATCCTGTGGTTCTGGTCCAGAGGGAGGGGCTGGACCTTCCTGGACAGAAACATTCCCACATTAAAGATCCGGGATGGGTCCACAACACCGCCGTTGCCATGGAGCCTTATTCTGGGATGTTATCTTGTCTTTGATCCTCACAGGTTCAAATATGTACATACACCCCTACTGATTATTGTATATATACAGTGGTGGGCACTGCTAACCTAAAAGCTAGCTGTGCTAGCTGTAAAGCACTAATCATGAACATTAGTTCTGCTAATGCTAAATGGTTTAACCAGCATATTAGGCATAAGCTAATGCTAAAGTGCCAAATCAGCATATTTAGTATAAGCTACTGAAGCGCTAAAGCAGCATGATGTTTAGTGTAATACTAATGCTAACATGCTATACCAGCATGATATTTCGTATAAGCTAATGCTAAGACACTATGACAACATAATTTTAGTGTAAGCTAAGGCTAATGCTAAACCGCTACACCAACATAATATTTAGCGGAAGCTAACACATCAGGGGTGGGGGGGTGGAGTTTTGCTTTTGGATTGTTGTTGTACAAGAATATATATATATATTTTTTAAATATATTAAGTAAGGTTATTTTATTTGGAATGGAAAAGTGTGACATTAGTGATACAGAACTTTTATTCGTTGTTAACGTTTTTTTATTACTCAACAGGACATCGGTTGGTCTCATAACTGCACTCATCTGACTGGACCCAGTTTGTACTTTGTCCTCGGGAAGACAAGACCGAGGAAACCACGGGGTCACTGATTCACAGAACCGATCAACTTTAATCCACATAACACGAATCAGCAGAAAAACAGAACCAGAACATCTAAAAACAGAATCAGAGCTGCGCCAAAATCTGCCCAAAAACAACTTGGGACCCTTCTAACTTTCTAACTAGCCTGTAACTATCCTATAGCCTATAGCCTGATAACAGTGGTGCGCTGAGCGCTTTAAAGCATCTATAATCGGTAATTAGAGTCATGTTGATCAGTACGATCGATAAAATCATCCGGTACCGAGTGTAATGTCCAGCTTGGTTCCCTGCTGCTCTACGGAGCTGAAGACGGAAGGCGCGTTTCTACCGGGGCGCGATTCAATTCACAACACCGGAAGATTGCTAACGGAAACTGGATGAGTGTTACAGAGAGAATGGTTCACCGTGTTCCCGAAGTAACAGAGGAACTTCCGCTCTGAACCCTTCACAATAAAGGTCCCAACAAAACACACATTTACTGTTACTGATCACATTTCAAAAAGACATTTTACTTTATTGTTTTTCACTTTTTAAATTATGTTTTGAATGTTACGGAATATAATAAGCTTTGTTCCTTTTATATTGTCCAAAATGAAGTAATAACCAACTAAAAACGTATGTTTGTTCTTTTTGCAATATCTCATGATTCTGAGCTAAAATATTTTCCCTGCAGGGATTAT